TCTGCCGGTTGCCCGCAGCTCTACAGAGAGGCAAGAGCCTGATCTTCCTCACAACGGATTCAGGCAGAGAAAGGCCACTGGATTTCTCCCCCCAAGGTCCAAAACCACATAGCTCACGGAAATGAAGAGTCCAACCAGGGCTGTCTGTCAAATCAGAACAATCTCAAAAGCACCATTTCTCAGACCTTCAGATGCAGATGACAGCCTGCAGGGTCGACGACGGCGGGTTTTCAGGTGAAAGGTGCTCTAGGTCTGTGGAGACGCTGCTGTTGACAAAGCAGGCGCCGGTCCCCTTTGCGCAGGTAAGAACAGTCTGCTCTGCTCGATTTCGGAACTGAACGCTTCCTGAGCTATGTTTTCCTAGCTCAGACACTTAGAAATGCAAACATAAACAATGTAGAATGTGAAAAAGCCAACTTTTCCTCCCAACTTACGGGATATTTTACAAATAACATCTCTACACCCTTTATTTTGTCTAAGGGGGTAGGATTTCATTGCAGTAACATTTCAGGGAAGGGAGATCACACGTTTGCACATTATGTATCTCCACACACAAAGGACAGAGCGAGAGAGTGACAGGACAAAAGGGCGCACACACAAAGGCAAAGCATACATGGGAGTTCCTGCAACTTGGGAGATTACAATATAGATGGGAAAAAAATCTTCCACTATTTTTGGGCGAAGGGTTTTTTTTGTTTAAATAACCAAGAGAAGAACAAGCAGTTGTTCATCTTGTTCTTCCCAAGACCAGTTCTGGCTCATTCTTTCCGTAACAGCAACAGTGACCGAGAGCGAAAGTCTGAGATTGTGACACGCAGCTGAGATTATGAGCCTGCACCAAATCGCGAGGCATCAAATGTATTCTTTGCTTCTATTTGTAGAAAAATTCCAGAAAACCATCTTGATTCGGTAGCTAATGTGTTTCCAAACGGACATTCTTTGATCTACTCAATAAAAGTGTGTGAGAGAGAGGAGAGCTGGACAAGGTCCCAGAGCAAAAGAATTTCATCGCTTCCAGTTTAAAGTATTAACCCTCAAAAAGTTCTTTGTCGTTTTCATCACCTATTTCTAAGGGTCAAAGTTCACTAAGAAGAGCAAAGAAACCTTCCACCTTACCATGTTGGTCATTAAATACCCATGCTTTTCACAATATTATCAAGACATCACATTTTGTTCCATCAAAAACCTTTAAAAATCGAGGCACCAAAAATCCATAAATAAAGCTCAAGGAACAGATTAGTCACTGAACTGATTCCATCTGAGGAAGAGTAAAGACCAGGCTTTGGTATTCTTACACCCCTTCTCAGCACTGGGTCTCCAAATGGGGGCTGGGGGGGGGTGGTAATTCTGCAGATTTCAGAGCAGATGACCCTGGTCATAACAGCCACACTTTCGTTGCACAATTCAGGGGCTCACTGGGATGTAGAGTTAGTAAACATTTTAGTCATTCATAAAAGCCTGACGGAATCCAGAAATCAGGCTACCCTTCTTTGAAGAAATCCCCTACAGGGAACAATCCTATGTGGAACCATGGGAGTGACCAGTTTGGAGATTTTTCAAAATACTGACAGCCACCTGAGATAAGCAAGCACACGAGTTCACAGCCGTTTTATCACCCAGATCACATCTTCTAGCTACATACTAGAAAAGAGGCTTTTTGAAAAGAAGATTTAGTAAGCATCAGCAGGCCAAGTCTGAGGACAAAAAAGGAGTAAACTCTAAGGCAACCCACAGGAAGTATGAGTCAGAGACACTGATGAGCTCCCTAGGAAGGGCCTGGGTGCTAGCCTTTGGGGCAGCAACAAACAACAGACTTGTGGGGGAAGTCAGACACTCCACTGATGGAGGTGAGGGGTCACCCGGAGGCCTACTGAAGAGAGGAGGCCGAGGCCTGGGAGGGACCCTGGAAAGCCTCTGACCTCCCGGCGGACCACAAGAACTCAATTTCCAGTAACTGGCAGAAGAAATGACATTTTCCCGGACATCTTCATCTTAGGCTAACAGGGGTGGGGATGCAGGGGTGGGAGGTGGTATTTGTGTCTGTGCTTGTCGTCGTGTCCCCAGCCTAACACTGGACACAAATGTAATTCTGTTCTTCGTCTCCCTCCATTTACATGTGAGTGTCATGGGGCCAGGAACGTGGCCGCCACTGCATCTCCACATGCAGAACAGGGCTGGCACACAGCAGGTCCTCGAGACGTGTTCATGGAGTGAACGGAACCAAGAATGAAATGAGAAGCCTGTTCGCTTCTACTCGCCCAATCTTCCCCTTCTTCCGAGATACTGGTAGGTAGAGTAGAATTCCAAAATGAAACACCAAACCATCAAGAAAGGAAAGTTGGCAACACTGGAACACTTGCTCAGAAAGGAGGTACTGATATTGTTAATAAGGAGGAAACCCGACTGCCCACGACCGCATGCTCACATAGCTGAAATGCTAAGTATTCAATCTCTCCCTGAATGCATATTCCAGTGTGACCAATTACAAGAAGTATGCTCTGCATATGGAACTCCTAATTCTCTAACAAGGATTCTTTTTTAAGATTTTATTTATTTGACAGAGAGAGACACAGCGAGAGAGGGAACACAAGCAGGAGGAGTGGGAGAGGGAGAAGCAGGCTTTCAGCCGAGCAGGAAGCCCGATGCGGGGCTCGATCCCAGGACCCTGGGATCATGACCTGAGCCGAAGGCAGATGCTTAACGACTGAGTCACCCAGGCGCCCCTCTCTAACAAGAATTCTTTTTTTTTTTTAAGATTTTATTTATTTATTCATGAGAGATAGAGAGAGAGAGGCAGAGGCAGAGGGAGAAGCAGGCTCCCCACAGAGCAGGGAGCCCGGTGCGGGACTCGATCCCAGGACCCTGGGATCATGACCTGAGCTGAAGGCAGACGCTTAACCGACTGAGCCACCCAGGCGTCCCTCTAACAAGGATTCTTAACTGAGGTCAGGCCATGGGCAGGATTCAGGATTGCTTATTATATATAGAGAAAATATTTACAAACCACATGTCTGACAAAGGACTAGTATCCAGAATATATAAAGAACTCTCAAAACTCAGCATCAAAAAAACTCAAATAATCCAATGAGAATGTGGGCAAAAATGTGGACATTTCACTGAAGAGAATATACACATGGCAAACAAGCACACGGAAAGATACTCAGTATCATTAGCTGTTAAAGAAAAGGAAATCAGAACCACGAGACTGCACTGCTCCTATCTTTCAGGCGACCACAGTGAAAAAGAGCTATAACACCAAATGCCAGCAAAGACAGACAGGAACTTGATCTCTCCTACAATGCCGGTGGGAATATAAAATGGTACAGCCGTCTGGAAGATACTCAGGCAGCTTCTTTAAAGAGAGAGAGAGAGAGAGAGAGAGAGAGGGCACCTGGGTGGCTCAGTCGGTTAGGCGACTGCCTTCGGCTCGGGTCACGATCCTGGAGTCCCGGGATCGAGTCCCGCATCGGGCTCCCTGCTCAGCGGGGAGTCTGCTTCTCCCTCTGACCCTCCCCCCTCTCATGTGCTCTCTCTCTCTCTCTCTCATTCTCGCTCTCAAATAAATAAATAAAATCTTTAAAAAAAAAAAAGAGAGAGAGAGAGAACTGGGGGCACCATATGACCCAGCAATTGTACTCTTATTTATCCCAGAGAGATAAAAACTTATGTCCACCCAAAGCTCTGTTCACAGCAGCTTTATTTTAATAGCCAAAAACTAGAATCAGCCCAGATGCCCTTCACCAGGGGACTGGTAAACTGTGGTCCATCCACACCCATGGAATACTTCTCAGTCATAAAAAGGAACTCCCGACACGCATGCAACAGCATTTTTGAAATGACAAAATTTAAGAAACGGGGGACAGATTCGTGGTTAGCAGGGGTGAGGGTGGGGGGGTGGGAGGGAGACAGGTGTGGTGATAAAAGGACAGCAGGAAGGATCCCACCGTGTCGGAACTGTCCAGCGTCTTGCTTGTGGTGGAAACAGGAACCGCACGGGCGTTAAGACTGTACAGAACTTACAAAACACGTGCGTGTACAAGTGAAACTGGGGCAACCTGAATGGGAGCAATGGGTCCCATCAATGTCGCCCTCCGGGCTCTGACACTATCCTGTGCTTTTGCAAAACGTTACCATTGGGGGAAACTGGGAGAAGGGTATAAGGGATCTGTATTATTTCCAACATCTGCACGTAATCCACAGTCACCTCAGTTTAAAAGAGATCATGTTTTTAAAAACAAAAATAAAGAACAAAGTGTATTACAAGCTCACTTCTATAAAATGAAACCACACACAAAAACAAAAGTATATTTTTATGTGCGTATCTGTTACATGTGTGTAACTACGTGAGTGCATAGGAAACAAGTTATGTATGTAGGAAGAGCCCCAAGCTTTCTAGCATATTCATTCTGGGGAGGAGGGGTCTGTACCTACCATGTAATCAGCAAGCACTACCATACACAGACACACACAAAAGAAAACCAAAGGAACTCAGGTCCAGAATGAAGCAATCTATCCGAACTCACAAGTAAGTGACTGAGCAAGAAGTCAAAACTCACACGACCCTTCCACAATCCCGTATCGTCGCTGACATGTGGGCGACCTGACTGCCATAAAATGACAACAGAAGAAAACAAATCATTCCTACGGGGGCTGTGAGGTTTTCAATTTTCTGGAAGCCCTTTGTAACAGAAACCCAAATGATTTAAATAATGGCATTTAAAGTGGGGAGAAATGACAGCATAATACATACAGCACGGTATCGAGTGTTGGAAAAAAAATCACCCATAAAACAAGTGTTTCTACATGTAAACGTGTAAGTACGCACATGCACAGACCCTGGAGAACACGTACCATCTGTGAGGATCAAGGGGAAAGAAGAGTAGTGGTCAAGGGGTATTGGGGCTTCAATCACAGTGTTAGAATTTGAGAATGCATTCCAATTCAAGTATAATTTGTCTATTTTCTTTTTAAGAAGGGGGAAAAATAAAGCAAACACTTACTGCATTCATAGATCTGTTCCAGCTTATCCACAGAAGAAAGGGAGAAAAATTTATAACCGGACTTACTACCAACAGCTAGGGACCTGCAAAAAAGCCAAATCAGAAATAAGAGCTGATATGTATAGACAGTGATAATGCACAAACTAGCTCCATGTTACCATCATCTCTACCAAAGATTAGCACAAATAATTTCACATAGTTTGTAGCAGGTGAGTGGTGGCTAAGCAGAAAAGGGGAAAGTGGCAGAGCAAGATGCCCCACCTCGCAGCCAGGAAAGGGTGAAGGCCAATAAAATACAGACAATATTTAAAACCTACAAAACCTTAAAGATAAATTTGACAAATAAACGGAAGTAATCGGCTCTAATGACCCCCTCAGAATAAAGTGGGGTTTCTCAGGTGATCTGATCTATGTGAGAGTCCAAAAGCTAAATTAGCCGGCACTCCAAACTTTAAACAAAGACATTTACAGCCTAGTGGATGACGACACCCTTCTGCCTTTCCGCGAGGCCACAGCCATGCAGCTCAATCACCCATGTTACACTCTGGCCGGGCAGTGGGGTGGTAATAAAATGGAGCAAAAAGCTATCTTCGAATCTGTACAGAGCTGACCTACAAAGAAAAGGTGAAGCCACTCACACCCAACTCAGCACCGTGGCGTTTGCTAAGAGGCCTGAAGGGACCTTGCGGGCTCTCCAGGCCCTCAGCACGGGGGCCGTGGGACACGAATGAAGTGTTCCTCATCAGACGATCACTACTCTCTGGAACGTGACTGACCACAGGAAAAAATAGAAGAAAGCACAGCTTTGAGAAACAGAAGATGAGCCAATAAAGCAGGAAGCGTGGGACATGCGAGGAAGCAGCTACTGGGACTGTTGTGGATTCAATGTCTGGGAGGACATGGAAACAAGCGGAGGCAGAAGACAAACCAGAAGACTAGACCAGGAGTATCTGCACACCAGGATAAAAACTAGGGCCCCTCTAATGGTCATTACATCTATTAAAAACTTGAGCTTTCCAACCTCTCTTTCACCCATATGCAGAAGAAATATATTCTAAGAACGGAGCTGCTATAAGCACTATTAAATTTTTAAGCTGTAATTGGTTCATCTTAGATGTATAAACAGAAACAAAACTCTTCCTACCAGCCCCTTTTTGGGGGCAAAAATACTTCACTATACTGAATTAATTATGTCAATGAAGTAATTAGGTACTGTTATCTGTAAATATTTTGAAAAACAATAAATGAGCCAATAAAAATAGAAGAATATCCAGGAAAGCTAAAAATAAGACAAAATCTCAGCAATCTACAACTTTTGGGAAGCTGGTGTTCGGGAAAATGTTTTCCAGATAACTAATGGTTGCTATTTGCTATTTTAAGCACCAATACCTTTCCCCCCGCCATTTCTGATTAGAAAATGAAAAAGTCATTCTTGTATTATATGCTTTCCTGTGTTTCTATCACAAGGGGATGGGAAATTCTTAACATTTTCCTGGACTCCCATCATTAAACTTACCCTACTATTACAATACAGTGACCCTCTCAGACACTAACAAGGAGCTGAGGGTTTTGTGTACTGACCTCAGATGGCCAGACTGTAGTGCTGAGTTTCTAAATACATTTTCCACCTTTTGTTTTGCCGACAGGTGTCACTTCTTTGTGACCCTCCCCCCATCATTAACAGCCCCTCTCCCATTCTAAACTTCTTGTTGACTTAGGAACCAAATTACCAAACTTACTGGCCTTATATAGAAAACAAACTTAGAGAGGGCTTCTTCCATGGGCAAAGTTAATGAGTTTAACTAGTTAACGAGAACCTGGATTTTGATGCTGTGCTCCTAACAGGAGAATCTGTCAAAACTGGGCTTTGGTGATCAAACATCAGAACTTTGATGTTCTTACAGAACATCAAAACCGAAACTGGTTTAGGGTATCAAACAACTTAGCTAGAATTTTAATTGCACGGTTTATAAAACCTCAATCAGCAAGAAATGTAAGCAAAAATATTTATTTTGACAGGTATTATGGTATAATATGAATATATACTTTATCAATAAAAGTAGGTGTTTTTAAAGGGTGGTAACACCAGCAATGAGGTTCATACATCTCTCTTTGAGGATTGATCCTGCTTTTAGTAATTTCTCATGATTTGCCTAACCATACAATGGCAGACATATTAATGGGAGAGGCAGAGTAACAGATAAGTTTGAGATTCCCTTATTAAATAATGTTATTCCCCAATAAATGTTTGTGTAGTTTTTTTTTTAAGGTAACACAGTGAGATCTTTTATTGACAAAAGGAAAACCCAGCTCACTATAATAAAGGACAGATTTACTCAAGCCTACTTCCCTACTATACCGCTGCCTTCCGCTGCGCCTGCTGTCAAAATCCAGAGACCCCGTTATACACCCTGGAGACAAAGTCCAAGTCCTTGGCCAGGATGGGAGAGGGAGTGCTTCTGGAACATGCTTTGGGCCAATCCTCTTCATTTTCATCCCGTCCCCCTTTATTCGACTGCCAGTCCTGAGCCTTCTGGGGATTCTGCAGTTTAAACTAGGCTGGCTCTCTGCTTTCTCCACTAGAGACTCGGGATCCACTTTCCTGTACTCCTTGCTAGTTTCCAAAATGTTGCTGCCAGTGACTCCTTCCTTATTCTCCCTATCCAATGGGTTTCAACCTTTTACAGTATCTTCTGGTATTTTATTGGTTGACAGGAGGGTTTTGGGAGGGGCTAAAACAAACATTTGGGTCTGACCCACCGTCTTTGACTGCAAGCCTGCGGCGGAATTAAACTTGACTGTTCAGTATCTAAAAGACAGGGATTCCCACTAAAACAACAACCAAAAAAACCCCTCAAATGTGAATCAGATCTTTTTCTTAACTCCTTTTTCTTTTCTCTGCCTTCTTATCAATAATTAGTCCCAAAAGGCTTTCCCTTTCCATTATCTTCTTACTTGATTAGAGGGTTAAGCAGCATCGGTCCACACCCATAAAAAGGAAACAATGGGAACTGCCGAGACCTGGTAGACCCCGGGGCTCTAGCTAGTAAGCTCAAGGCCCCAGCAGGCCCTTTCCCTTGGCTCACAGCATTTCAGCCCTGGGTCTCCACCTACAGCCTCGAAAACTCCACAGGAGCCAAAGCAAGATTTCATCCTTTGCCCCCAAACCGAATCCTTCTCTAATCTTTTCCCCATAATGCAATCACTGTTCACTCTGAACCCAAACTAGAGATTTGGGAGTAACCTTAACTTCCCCGCAACACCTCCGGCCCACGGGTCACACCAAGTCCCGATGGCTGACCAGTCTGCTCTCCACAGGCCACTGCTGTTGGACAATATCCTCCTGGGTGACTGTCCTGCCCTCCTCCAACACGCCCTCTACCCAGCAGGCAGAATGACCTAAAACTTTAAGGTTGAGGGATCCTTAAAACCCATCCACAATCAAGCCTCTCAATTTACTGATGAGGAGAAAGTGGAAAGAAGTGACCTTCCCACAAAATAGTATCTGTAATCTAGAAGAATCTGTTAAACAAGTGTCTCCATAACTTTTCTGGACACTAACAACATCAATGCTACAAATGGAAGACTTGGAAAATCAAGTCCCTCTCTTTCGTCTACCCCTTTTGGAGATATATTTTAAAACAGACATTGCCAAATCACAGGCTTCCCACAAGCTGAGCGACATCCAGTGGAGGACTTCAGTCCTTGACATTTTCATTTAAGCGATACTCTACCACTTATTAGTTTGTTAACTTCAATTTCAAAAGCCAAAAATTCCTCCAAAATAAACCTTCCAAACTGTTACTTTCAGAAACTAGGATTGGAACTAGCCACTCAGTAGGTGACTGAGATCAGCTGTTCCTGGTGCCTCTTTCACTGCTCTTACTTAAAAAAAAAAAAAAGAAAAGAAATCAAACAAACGGTAGAAAACAAAACTTAGTCATGCTTTCAGGGAAAGAATCCTAGAAAAATGAGGACAATATCTGAAGCCACATTGCCAGGACAAAAAGGCAGGACAGATACAGCCTGCCAAGGAATATTCTTTAAGCATTCCTGTGTAACATACACGTATTCTATTAAGTGAAATGGCTTCCAGATTTTCTCACTCAAGACAGTGAATGTGGATCCCAGACCAATAACCTTTGTCTTGTGAAAAACTGTGTTCCTCTATAAAGAGTTTCTGGAGACAGGTAAGGGAGGCAAAGGGGTAAGTTGTGCAGCCTTTCCTCAGGAGCTCATGTATTTAAGACAAATTACAGTCATTTTAATTGATAAACTTCCAGTATAAACCTAACTTACTCTTTCTTAACAATTTATGTTTATACTATATCAAGGTCTCTGGCAAGTCCAAACTATGACACAGAAATCTCTTGAACTTCAGGACCCACTGAGGAGCGGGGAAGCACATGATTTCCAAGTGTGAAAAGGTCTAATTTCAAGCCAGGTTGATATATTCTATTATATATGGAATTTGGTAGCCCATTTGAAATAACAGCAAAAGAGAACACATTGTCATATTTCAATATAAATAATGGGTAGTTAGAAACTGGGAAAAAAAAAAGGTAGAAAATGTTTTGAAAATTCTCTAATTTATACGAGACATAAAAATAACCACAAAGCTATCATTTCTTACCGATCTCAAAATACTAAGGGCTTAAAAACCAAATCATAGATGGTTTGAAATGCTCTATTCGCTTCTTGGATGAATATAATATAGTCTATCCCAATTACAACCACGTGCAACAGGTTGTCCAAGATGTTTCTGTTGTACTGGTTTTTGGTCACACAGTATGCTTATGTATGTGGTAGTTTTAATCTTTAAAGACTGCTACAGTACGATTTCTAAATTCGCTGTCCTCAAAATCCTACCTTTTAGGCAGAAAAGACAGTGGGGCAGGGTGGGAAGATCACTGGAAGAGAAGTCAGTCCTGTCCCCACTCCACTATTGGCCACCTGGAATATCCAGGTGCAGCTCTGGACCTTTGTGAACTTCAGGTTCCTCAACTGCTGTTGGAGCAGGAGATGGGCTTCCTTCCCACCCTCTGTGCAGTCCCCCTGCCGGACCATCTGCACTAACCTCACGATTCTGGGGAGGCCCTGCTGAGCACCTGCTGCTTGCTGTTCCACAATTAACTTTTCATTAAAAAAAAAAAGTTTCTTCTACTTTGCTGATTCCATTCAGCCAGTAACAACTCAACCAACAATACTTAGTATGAAGCCAATGACCCATTCCTCCTCACTTACATCACTTCCTCTTACTCACTTCCCAAGATGGCTCTCCTCCCTTCCAGTTCCAGAACTCCTTCCTTCCTTCCCCAGAAACTTCATCTATTAACTAGCCTCACAGGTCACCCAGACAGCCTCTGAAGAATCAGCTTCAAACCCACATGGGTTTGGACAAACAGCGTTCCAAATGCACGGGTCGGCATCAGTGGCCTCTCTTCCCCTAAGGATGGCCCCAGACTCCTCAGGTCCCCCTTGGCTCAGTTTCTCCCCAGATCAGGGGCCAGGATTATTGCTAAATCTGTTTCTTGCTCGGGCAGAACATCAAAGCTACACCTAAAAAAAGAACAGGGAGACAAGAAGGAAAGGAAAGGAAAGAAGGGAATGAGGCCCTAAGGTGAGGAGGAGACTAGAAGGGCCTGAAGAGGGGAAAGGGTGGAGGAAGAGGGCTGACGAAGAAGAGGAGGGGGGATACAAGGAAGAAGCGCACTCTCGCCGCTCCGGAAGCGGCTGAGACAACAGGTCAAGGCACAAAGTTCTGCCCCAACTTCATGAGAAGGGAGGCCCCAAAAGGTAAAGCCACCTTTCGGTAAAGCGAGTGGGTGAAACGCCTCCCTGCCTCCCTCACTGTCCCCGCTCAGCGATCGCAGCTCCAGCGCAGCGCCCGGAGGGTCCGCGAGGAGAGCGCCCCTCCCTCCACGCTCCGGGCCCGCCCCCGAGGGCGCCCCCGCCCGCCCCGGCCTCCACCCGAACGTCCAGGCCCGACCGCGGGCCCGGCCCCGGCCCCGGCCTCGGGCTCCCGCCCGCCCCGGCCCCGGGCCTCGGCCCTCGGCCCCCGGCCCCGGCCCCGGCCCCCCGACCCCCGCCCGGCCTTACGTGTTGTCCTGGTTGAAGTTGGCGAAGAGCAGCTGGCCGGCGCCGGCCTCGCCGCTCTGACTCGCCAGGTTCATGATGGGCGCGCGGCGGGAGGGCGCGGCCGGGGGCTCGCGCGCGGGGGGGCGTGTCGGGTGCGCTCAGGGTCGGCGCCGGGCCCCGCTCGCCGCCTCGCTGGCCGCAGCTGGCTGCCCGGGGATCAACCGCCGCCTCATCCCGTGCCCGCTCTTGTTTATGCTCCGGAGCCGGGGCACCCTGCGCGCTTGCGCGGCCCCGCCTCCTCGGGGCACGGCCTCCCCACGGCGCAGGCGTATTGCGGAGGTCCCGCCCCTTCACCTCGGGCCCGGACCTGGGGTTCTGGTCGAACACGCGCACGCGTGGGGACGCGCGGGGGCGCGCCGGGCAGGGCTTGCTGACGGACCGAGGGCGGCGCATGCGCATGGAAAAGAGTAGGCGCTCGGTACACTGCATCGTGTTACCAATATTAAAAGGGCCCGCCGTGTGCCTGCCAGTCGTTGCGCTAGATATTGATGTACAGCATCCCTACTTAGAGAATATCGCATTCCCATTTTACAGATTTAAACACCGAGGCTCAGAAATACTAACGTATTAGCCGAGTGTTGGATCTGAGAACCGAAACCCCTTTCTTTCCCCAAGGCCCACGCGGAGGAGTCCACCTTACGTTTACTCATACATTCAATAATATTTAGGAAGTACCTTCCACGTGAACTAAATAGGCCTCCTTTCCCTTAGAGAAGTTACAGTGGGGGAGATACGTAAACGCAATTACAAGCCGGGGTACAAGAGAGCATATAATGAGGTCACTCAACCTAAACTTAAGGGACAGGGACTGTGCAGTCAGAGAAGGCTTCCTGGAGGAGGGGAGGCCTGAAATTTGAACGGTAGGTAACCACCCCAAGGAGATGGAAGCGTTCTGTATTGCAAAGGTCCACAGATAAGAGCGTGTCCCGGGAATGCTCTGCTCAGTGTGTCTGAGCTCTGAGTGGGACGATGAACACGAGACAGACTTGACTTGTGAAATCGGAGGTGGCTAAATCAAGCTGGATGCTGTTGAGCTACATTAAGCAAGAGACTGAACATTAGCCCAAGAACAATGGGCTACCATTGAAAATACTTAGCCAGGAGAATGGCACAATCAAATTTGTGGGTAGGGAAGTTAATTCTAGCCACAGAGTCAAAAGTGCATTGAAAATCGTTGAGGAAAGAAGGGTCTTTTCTCATGGCTCTCCTCACACCAAACTCAAAAACTAGTTTGAGATGGATTGTAGACATAAATGTGAATGGTAAAACAATAAGCCTTCTAGAAGAAAACATGAGAGAATGCCTTCATGACTTGGGGGTAAATAAAGTAAGTATTCTAAACAAGTACTTTAGGGCGCCTGGGTGGCTCAGTTGGTTAAGCGACTGCCTTCAGCTCAGGTCATGATCCTGGAGTCCCTGGATCGAGTCCCGCATCGGGCTCCCTGCTCGGCAGGGAGTCTGCTTCTCCCTCTGACCCTCCCCCCTCTCATGTTCTCTCTGTCTCTCTCATTCTCTCTGTCTCAAATAAATAAATAAAATCTTTAAAAAAACAAAACAAACAAACAAAAAAAAACAAGTACTTTAAAAAGTACTAACCAGGGGTGTCTGAGTGGCTCAGTTGGTTAGGTGTCTGCCTTCAGCTCAGGTCATGGTCCTAGGGTCCTGGGACTGAGCCCCGCATCAGGGAGCCTGCTTTTCCTTTTCCCTCTGCTGCTCACCCTTCTTGTGCTCTTGCTCTCTCTCTCTCTCTCTCTCAAATAAATAAATAAAATCTTAAGGGAAAAAAAGTACTAACCACAACATAAAACATTAATCTTCATCAAAATTAAGGACAACTGCTCATCAAGAGACCATCAAGAGACGTTGAGAAGGCAAGCCTCAGAATGGGGTACATATACTTGCAATACATGTATTTGCAATGCATATTTTGACAAAGGACGTCTTTCCAGAATGTTAAAAGAATTTCTACAAATCAGTAAGGAAAATACCAACTCATTTTTTTACTGGGCAAAAAACTTGAGCACAGGCACTTCATAAAATAGCAAAATGGCTAATGAGCACCTGAGAAGGTGATCATCATTAATATTCATCAAAGAAATGCAAATTAAAAGCAAATAAGATACCACAAGCATCTACCTGTTAAAATCAAATAGAAACAGAAACTGGACTAGGGCACCTGGGTGGCTCGGTTGGTTAAGCGTCTGCCTTTGACTCAGGTCATGATCTCAGGGTCCTGGGGTCAAGTTCTGCATTGGGCTCCCTGCTTAGTGGGGAGTCTGCTTCTCCCTTTGCCCCTCCCCCTGCTCATTCTCTCTCTCTCTCTCTCTCTCTCTCGCAAATAAATAAATAAAATCTTAAAAAAAAAAAAAAAAAAGAAACAGAGACCAGACTTGAAAATACCCTGAGTAGACAAAACCAGTTTAGTCAGACAAGTAAAGCTGAATTTAGCTTATTTTGTAAGACAAGCAAGGCTAAATCGACCTGGGTCACTTCTTGCTGGTGCCTCTGAAAATCATAAGTGAAACAAAGTAGTTCCCCCAAATTGATAGGGGGTAACTGCTAATCCGTGCATTTAAGAAAATTCTAATATCATAACCAATCATTGTAAAGAGTAAATAGTCACTATAGAAGCTGCTGCATAAAGATATACCTCTGAGCCTCCCTCCCTGTTCTGGTTTGAGCGCTCCTCGTTTGCAAACTGTCTCTTTGATGTGTATACAATAAACTTTTTCTAATTATCACTTCAGTGATTTGTTGATTTTCGTTTTTTATTCTGAACTTTTGACATCCCCTATTGGCTAAAATTACGATAACTGGCAACCCAAATTGTAGACGGTAACTGTGGGGCAACTTGAACTCTCATACACTGTGAATACAAGTCTAAATTCTTAGAATCAGGGCGCCTGACTGGCTCAGTCGGTAGGGCATGCGACTCTGGATCTCAGGGTTCTGAGTTTGAGCCCCACATTGGGCATAGAGAATACAGATGACTTAAATATAAAACCTTTAAAAAAATAAATCGCTAGAATCACTTTGGAAAACTTTTGACAGTATTTACTCAAGTTAAACATACATATTCCCTATGATTCAGCCATTTCACTTCTAGGCATATCCTTAATAGTAATTAGTGCATATTTCCCTCCAAAAGACAGGTATAGGAACACTCCTACCTGCTTTTTCTTAATAATCCAAAACTGGAAATAACCCAAATGTTCATCTACAACAGAATGAATAAGCAAATTTTGGTACATTCATACAAAAGAATACTACAGAGCAGTTAAAAGGCCATACACACATGAATGAATACAATATTGAGTGAAAAGATACAAAAGAACATAATACTGTATGAGTCCATCTACATGAAGTGAAAAATAGGCAGAGTCGTGGTTCCCTCTGGTGGGGGATTGGTTGGGAGGGGGTCAGGAGGGAGCCAGCTGGAGTGTGGGAACTGTCCTGTGTCCTGATTTTAGTGGTTGGGCATATACATATGTAAATGTATAAACATACATATGTGGATGCCCATAGAGTCCATCTCCAATCACTGAAGTCAAGGTGTAGCCCAGGAGCAATGTCTTTAGTGGTTCCGTCTTTATCAGTTGGCAATTTCCTGTGGGCCATAAAGAGGTGTCTGAATAAATCCCCTGGGTTCTAGACACAGTCCTTCACTTCATTTTGAAAAGCCACCCAATTTCCCCTCATTCATCAGAATCTATTGTTTCATCCAGGACAATAACTTCTTCTCTCTCTCCATTGGTTCAGCCAATGAAGATCTCCAAATGGCAGGGGTTAGACTCCGTTTCCAATTTACCAGAACCGTGACTCTGTTCCCTGGGGTAATAGGGGTCCTTTTGCTACTAGAATCTCAAAATCCAGTGAACTCAGGGCTGTGTGGATGGAAACAAAAAATTTTTCCGTGGATTATTAGTTGTAATCTGCAAGGAAACACTACCACCTCTACTCCCAGTTGATGGCATGTCCTGAATATTGTAGAATGACATCTCAACCTCACAGGGTGTGGCCACAGCTAAACCTTCAGGAGGCCATTCCACCATCTATGTGAACACCAGGATAACACTTTTAAAAATGGTAATGTCCAAAGCTGAGAGCTTGACCTGTGTGTGACTCAGAAACACAAACTCATGTCCCAGCTCACCTGGGGACGGCATGAACTGACATTCCTGATGACAGGTAGAGCAGGAAAGGTGCTTGAGACCTTCTATCATCACTTCAGGAGCCCTCCAGCTAACTAGCCTGATGCCAATCCCATGAAGAAGAGCTTCCCTTCCTCGTTTCAACCGTAGAGCAGAACCATCACCTGTTGGTGCTTAAAACATTCCTCAAGTATTCTTCCTGTGTGCCACATTCAGAGATTAACAATCCTCCCACAGGCAAGTTTCTAAATAAACCTGTGGGTTGAAGAGCTGGCAGAGAGGAGGGAACCGAGGACTGAGTGAAAGGGTGATGGAGGGCACCTTGCAGGAGGTGAGGCAGTGAGAGGGAGATCAGGGCAAGCACACCACTGAAATCGGACAGACATTCTGAGTTTCAAATCCGGGTTCAGGTTCTCTTGAGGTGTGTCTCCTTAAGTAAGTCACACAATCTCTCTGAGTATCTGTTTCCTCAACAATAACAAGGGCTAGAATAATTCTCTTGGGAGTGCTATGGAGATTGGATGCATGAATGGAGCCATCCCTCCGTGAAAGCAAAGAGAACACTGGCAAAAATGATCCAAATCCACTTCTTCGGAACTCTGGAGATGAAGTAAAGGATTGCAACATTCTAAGAAGCATTTATACAAGCAAAACAGTGGAATCTCTGTAAAAGCAGTGAGATCCGTGGCATTTTTAGTTTTCCCTAATTCCACCTCTCCCTCCAAGCTCCCTGGTAGCCTTGAAAGTCAGCAGCCTTGCGACAGTGACAGGCGTAAAAAAAGCAGCCTTGGTGGCGCCTGGGTGGCTCAGTCGTTAGGCGTCTGCCTTCGGCTCAGGTCATGATCCCAGGGTTCTGGGATCGGGTCCTACATCGGGCTCCCTGCTCGGCGGGAAGCCTGCTTCTCCCTCTCCCGCTCCCCCTGCTTGTGTTCCCTCTCTTGCTGTGTCTCTCTCTGTCAAATAAACAAAATCTTAAAAAAAAACCAACAAGCAGCCTAGCAGTCACTGGAGGCGGCGGAAAGGGCTTGGAGCTCCCCAAAAGCCCCATCCCCAGAGAATGGTCACCGTTTGA